CAGTTTCCTAAAAAGAAAAGAAATAAAATAAGCAAAAAGTCTAAGGGCTCTGCGACACCTCTCCAGTCCCTAAATCCCAACAGATGGAAGGTGTTGTAACGATGCAGCCCTGACATGGGAGTTCTGGGGGCCTCCAGTGGATTCTGGGGACAGTCCTAGCTCTCCTGAATGGGGGTGTTCTTGGGGAAGACCAGAAGAGAAAAATGGCTGTAGCTTTCCCATTGAGGGAGGCTGGCCTCTGTGGGCCTTGTGTCTTTGTGAGTTGGTAACACTAGGGCACACTCTGCCTTAACACAGCTAAGGGTGTGAGCAAGTGGCACCAAAAATAGCAGTAAGGCATCTGGGGAGGGTGTCACACGGGAGGCAGGGGCAGGGCGGAGCCATCTGCCAGCTCTGCTCCCGCCCACTCTCCTATGCCTTCCACTCTTGCTCTGCCCCAAAGCCCTTTCCTCTTTCCTCCATCTCAGAGAGGGCAGGAGATGGCAAGGTGACCTGGGGACAAACACCTGCCTGTGGAGCCTGAGTGGATGCTGACTCTGGAAATTTTGTGACTCTCCAGGGGCAAGCAGGGTGGTCATGTGGGAAGAAACATAGGACAAGACAAATCCTGCCCGCTAGTCACCTGAATTCAAGCCTGACCCAAGACAGGTCCCAGACAGCCTTGCTTGGACATTCAGGGTGAGGTGAGGTAAGAAACACATGAAACTTAAAGCCATGCCTTCCAAAGACTGTGGAATGCTGGCAGTAGTGGGCCACTATTTCTTCCTTGGTGGTGTCCACCATCAAGGTACATCAAGAAGGGAGCTGGACACAGGGCTATGTACTTTCTGAGCATTCGATCAGCAGCAGCATGGCTTTGGAGGAAGTTAGAAACTGCCATGACTCAGTGTTATCAACTGTAAAATGGGACTACAGTAACATCTGCCTAATGGCATTTATGAGTATGAATGGGTCAGTGTGTGCATGGGAACCTTTTGGCACAGAAGCTAACAGGCCATCTGACCTTCCCACCATCACACCAGCCCCAGCCAGGCAGGATTTTCTCATCTCCGCATGATATAGGTGGCTGAACGCATGCTGCCATTGTTTTTCTTTTTCTTTTTTCTTTTTTCTTTTTCTTTTTTTTCTTTTTTTTTTTTTTGATTTTCCACAGTGGTGCCCAGAGGTGAACACTAATCATGCCGTTTATAGCCATGAAAACAGGCCTAGAGAGGGCGAGTGACTTAAGACCATATCTGCAGGAACTAACTGTCAAACTGGGACTGGAAGCCTGTGCGGTTAGCTCCAGCTACATGAGCCAGAGAGCCTCTTCTCTGCTCACCTGTCCCCACCTGGCTGGTACCATCTGGATGCTTTCCATGCAGGCCTTCACTTGGGAGATGCTTGGTCTGGGCCTCAGACTGGGGGAAACAGTTAAGGAAGTTGTCAACCAGCCCCCTACACTTACTAGTTGCTAAATCCCATGCCAGGTGCAGGGACAGGAAGGAGGTAAGATGAGGAGAGCAGAACACTGTTCCACACCATGATGCTGTGAGGCTGAGTTGACACAGAGGGGCGTGTGTGTGTGTGTGTGTGTGTGTGTGTGTGTGTGTGTGTGTGTGTGTGTGTGCTCATCCATAAGCAGCCAGCCTAGAAAGAGGAGGGACAGGGAAAGGCTTCAGAGAGGAGGGGACATGTGCGTACAGTCTGGCCAAAGTCTGCTCAAGGGATAAGGCAGGAAGGGACTGCCAGGCAGAGGGAACTGCTTGGATGGATGCCAGGAGATTAAGAAGACATAGTAAGCTAGGCAAGAGCAGAGGGAAGGTCAGAACCTGGGGTGGGTGGGGTTCTAGACAAAATGGCCAGCTAGAGGAAGGGCCAGAAAGTCATCACCTGGAGAAGAGCTGGGAACTCAAGGGCAATGGGGATCACTGAGATTTTAAAAGGGGCGTGGCTCTGGAGAGATGACTCAGAGGTTAAGAGCACTGGTTGTCCTTGTAAAGGACCTGGGTTCAGTTCCCAGTACCCATCTGCTGGCTGTCATGACTCCAGTTCCAGGGCATCTGGCTCCCTCTTCTGATCTCCACTGGCAGCAGACATGCATGTCATCTATAAACACACATGCAGGCAATCACTCACACATACAAAATAAAAACAAATCTTCAGCTGGGCATTGGTGGTGCACGCCTTTAATCCCAGCACTCAGGAGGCAGAGACAGGTGCATCTCTGTGAGTTTGAGGCCAGCCTGGTCTACAGAGCAAGTACCAGGACAGGCTACAAAGCAATACAGAGAAACCCTGTCTCGAAAAACCAAAAACCAAAAACCAAAACCAAAACAAAAAAACAAAAACAACAACAAAAAACAAATCTTCAAAATTTAAGGGCCCAAATAGCCAGATTGGTGGCTCAGTAATTAAAAGCACTGTCAGTTTTTCCTTAAGTCCTGAGTTCAGCTCCCACTCACATGACAGCTCAAATAGATTACAACTGTAGACTTGTGGATTCCAATGCTTTTCTATTTCGTGCAGGCAAAACACCCATATGTATAAACAAATACATTTTGGGTTGGTATGGTGGCACACCAGTTTAATCCCAGTACTTGGGAGGCAGAGACAGGCAGTTCTACAGAGAGAGTTCCAGATCAGCCAGAGCTACTCAGAAAAACCAAAAAGAAAAAGAAAACATTCTTAGTGGAGTGGAGGCTGGTCGTACTGGGAGCTCTGAGGGCAGATGTGTCCCAGGGTCCTGGGTGGGCATGATGAGCCAAGCCAAGAGGGTCTTGGGCCCTTTAACGAGCTGGCTGGGGTGATAACTTCTGTATACACATCGACTACCTAGTGAGACCCTGCCTCAAAAAAAAGGAACATCCAGAGTGGTGGCACATGCCTTTAATCCCAGCACTTGGGAGGCAGAGGACGGGCAGATCTCTGTGAGTTTGAGGCCAGCCAGGTCTACAAATCGAGTTCCAGGACAACATAGAGAAACCCTGTCTCAAAAAACAAAACAAGTACAGCAAGCCTGTGTGTAGATAAAGTTTCTATTCTGCCTGGTCCCTCAGCCAATTAGCCCCAAATAAGTACACAGAGACATATTAATTATTAAACTGTTGGCTGATGGCTCAGGCTTCTTTCTGGCTAGCGCTCTCTTAATTATTAACCCATAATTACTGATCTATGTATTTTTACATGGCCTTATCTTATCGAAGAAGGCTCCAGCATGTTATTATTCCTTTAGCGACTACAGGGCGTCTCTCTTGGCAGCCTCTCTCTGCATCCTCTCCCCAGCCTTCACCTATGCTTCCTGCCTGGCTACAGGCCAATCAGTGTTTTATTCATCCACCAATAAGAGAAACATATATGCAGAAGGACATCCCCCACCACCTGTGATTGTTGCCCAGTTGATGGAGTACTTGACTAACATATACAAAGTCCTGGGTTCAGTTCCCAGCATTGCGCAAAGCCAAGCATGGTGGCATATACCTGTCATCTCAGCACTCACGAGATGGAGGCAGGAGGTTAAGTATAAGTAGTTCAAGGTCATCTTCACTACATAGCAAGTTTGAGGCCGGCCTGGGCTACATGAGACTGCCTCATAAAACAAAAACAGGGGTAGCTCAGTGGGTAAGAGCACTGGCTACTCTTCCAGAAGAGTTCAACTTCTCGCACCCACATGGCTCACCACCATCTGTAATTCCAGTTCCAGGGGATCAGATGTCCAGTTCCCTCTTCTGACCTCTGGGAGGCACTGCATTCAGGTGATGCACAGACGTACGTGCAGGAAAAACACACAAACACAAAATAATAAAAAGGAACAAGTAAAGTGCAGAACACTACATCAAATATGCAACATTGAAAAAAAGAAGCACACCCAGGCCAGCCTGGTCTACAGAGTGAGTTTCAGGACAGGCTCTAAGCTACACAGAGAAACCCTGTTTCGAAAACATTACAACACACATACACATACACACACACACTGTGGTCACCAGGAAACAACTAGGGGAACACTGCGTGTGAGGACAGTGTCTACCCCAGACTCAGTGCTCACTCTGGGAATGGAAGGAGGTGGCACTCTGGGCAAGGCTGTTCCCAGCTGCTCTGACACACCTCCTCCCCCCCTTCCTGTCCCTCCCTCCTCTGCTCCAGCCCCTGTCTCTGTCACTCACAGGGCTGGCTAGGCTGGGGCAGCTATGGCAGCAGCACTAACTTGGATTCCTCTCTTTGTGGGCAAGTTGGGGATCTTCTTCAGGGGGAGGGACAGGATAAGGGGTGGAATTTAGGGGTTGTGAGGTAGAAGAATAGGGGGGTCCTAAAAAGAGGGGTTTGGTGTGGATGAAGTAGGGACTAGAGGGTTTTGGGGGGTGGTAATGATAGGCAATCAAGGATCCAGGGGCTGGGAACTGGGCTCTGGAGGATGGGTACCGGCGATTTTGAGGGCAGGGGTGTCCTAGAACCCTGGGTGGGCATGACAGGACAAGGGAAGCAGGCCGTGGGCCCTTTAATGAGCTGGCTGGGATACTACCTCTGGCAGACCAGGCTAAATTTGGCATTAAGAGGGAAGGCAAAGGCAGCCTGAGCAAGTCCACTTTGCTGGGCTCCTATTGGCCTACATTGCAGACCCTGTTCTGTGTTCTTCTCTGGGAGTTGGGAGCCTCAGAATGGCTACCCCCTTTCTGAGGGTCCTCTCTACCCCTAGTCTCTCTGATATTCAGCATGGGGTTCTTTCCCAAATAACCTGGAAACACACAGCATACCCCTTTCTCAGCCAGACATCAGTCCCCTCCCACCGTGGGCCTAAAACATTGCGTAAAAAGATGGCTGGGGGTCGCTCCCATGAATCCAAAGCCAATAGAAGTCTGGGGCTTGTCACTCCCTACGCGATGCAGCAGAACAGGGTCTGCAGTCCACCATGGAGCCAGCCAGGAGCCCTCAGCTCTCAGCACAGCAGGAGCACTGTGGAGAAGAGAGCTCATGCCCTGCCCGTGACTGAAGCTCTGTATTTGGGGCTTATGGGGTTCCCACAGGTCTTCTGGCAGGGCCGAGGGACACCAAGGCCCAGCAGACAACCTTATACCCACTTGTGGGTCGTGTTTTTGTACATCCCTTGGAACATGCCTCCTTCCTGCGCCTCCCAGAACACATTGGTAAGAGAGGGACCAGATGGGTTGGAGTGAGATCTTCTGCCCTGTCTCTAATTTTCAATACTCTCTTGTTTCTCCCATCAGCGGCGCCACCTACTGTCCGACTCACCTACCAGGCCCACCTCCAGGGACATCCAGACCTGCCCCGGTGGCTGCGCTACACACAGCGCAGTCCCTATAGCCCTGCCTTCCTCTATGGTACTCCCACTCCAGAAGATCGTGGGCGCCAGGTCATTGAGGTGCCAGCACAGAGACACCCAGACCCCCTGGGGGTGGCCACTGGGGCCTCTAGGACTGGCCCTGCCAGTGGGATTGGGTGTTGGTGCTTGTTTATTTACATGTAATTTGCATACACTCCATTAGTGCCTGCTTCACCTTAGCCCGCTCCTCAGCCCTCTTTCCACTCCCCAGGTCACAGCCTACAATCGAGACAGCTTTGACACTACTAGACAGAGGCTGCTACTGTTGATTGAGGACCCCGAAGGTACCTCCGTTCCCATTCCACTCTTCTGCTGGTGCCAATCTTGAAGAGTCTCACCTGGGAAAGAGAGTGTAGGGAAGCAGCGGGGAGCAAGGCACTCTGGAGAGGGGGCACCAGGGCAGATGTGTCTTGGTAGCTTTAGGGAAGGAGCTCTGGACTGAGGTCTGTCCTTGGCTGTGTTACTAACTGAGCTGCCCACAGGCTGCAGGGCACTAGAAAGCCGTTGACTGAAGTGTTGGAGAAGGAAGCTTAAGGCCTATGTTGTGTGTAGGCTGTCGGGGCAGAGGTGGTGTAGGGAATATTGGCACGCTTGGCGGAGGCCTAGGAAGCACCTGGGGAACTGAGCACAGAGTCGGGTGCAGTTGAGAGCAGACTTGGCCTCCCCAGGTCCCCGGTTGCCATACCAAGCCGAATTCCTGGTGCGCAGCCATGATGTAGAGGAGGTGCTGCCCTCCACACCTGCCAACCGCTTCCTCACTGCCTTGGGGGGACTCTGGGAGCCAGGGGAACTCCAGTTGCTCAACATCACTTCTGCCTTGGACCGTGGAGGTCGTGTCCCTCTTCCCATTGAGGGCCGGAAGGAAGGGTAAGGGGGCAATCCAGGAGGGCTTCCTGGTTAACTGGGGAGTGGGCAAAAATAGCCATCTCCCCGATTTCCTGTTTACCACTGTGGCACACCTTCATCACGGTCATCTTTTCTCCTTGATTTACAACACTGCCCATTCTCTGCCATCTCCTTCTTGGGTTCAAACCTTCATTACCCTGAACTGTGTACTTACTGATACCCCATGAGGACATATTTAATCCTTCTGTTAAAAGTCATTTCTGGGGTGCTAAAGACTGGGGTGCTCTAACTTGGTCTCAGGTCTTAGAGGCTGTGGCCCTCTCCCACCAAGCCCTGATGTGTCTCCCATGGGTCCTTGCCTACTGTCAGGCCACCACCACCTCTCCCTGGCAGAGTGCTGCTCTGTCCACTTCCACTATGTTGACAGTGGCTTCTTTCTGCCTCAGGGTATACATCAAGGTGGGCTCTGCCACACCCTTCTCTACCTGCCTGAAGATGGTGGCATCACCAGACAGCTATGCCCGTTGTGCCCAGGGACAGCCTCCATTACTGTCCTGCTATGACAGCTTGGCACCCCACTTCCGTGTTGATTGGTGCAATGTGTCTCTGGTGAGCAGGGATCCTGGTACAGTTCTCATCAAGTCCTCTCCGTCTATCATTTCTCTAGTCCATATTTTTTTCTGTAATAGGGTCAGTTTGGGTCTCAATGGGGACACACACACACACACACACACACACACACACAAACACACACACACACACACACACACACACACACACACACACACTCTCCTACACACACACACACACACACACACACAAACACACACACACACACACACACACACACACACACACACACACTTGCTTCTATTTCCTGCCACAAGAGGGCGACAAAGCTTACATTACAGTCCACATCTGGACTCCCGGATCTGCTCAGCCTGAAAGCTGAAACTACCAAGCCGGAATTCCAGCGAGGACATCTGTGTGACAGCTCTGTCTGCTTCCGGAGGAAGTGCCACCAAACAAGGCTGCCTGCAATAAGAGGTTCATTGAGGCTCTTGGTGATGTTTCAAGGGATCCTAGAGATCCTGCCTCCCAGGCTGGAGACTGCTGGGAACCAGCAAAAGGGGGGCATCATCAGGGTCCAGTGGTAGCACTGGTGATTGACAGCGTACTGAAGGCTGTCAATCACCAGATCTCCAGCATCTTCCACCACCATGATTCACCACAGGAACAGGCACACCATCACCATTCTGAATTCACCGAGGAAACCACGTTGAGGCAATTCACCCCGGTGAAGCACTAGCCTGACTCAAGAGTTTAGACTCAGGCAGTCCAAACCTAGCACTAGCACTGACCATTGTACATCCCTGCCTCTCCTAGAACTGGCTTCTCCTGGTCCCTCTCATCCAGTGATCATCCTGTAGTTGTATGGGCTAGGGGAGGCAGGCGGTTACATGGGGTTGATAGGTTGGTGGCTGCCAAGTCTCCTGTGGGCAGTGTCTCTGGGTCCATTCAGCTCTTGACTCTACACAGGTGGACAAGTCAGTGCCAGAGCCCGTGGATGAGATGCCTACTCCAGGTGATGGGATCCTGGAGCATGACCCATTCTTCTGCCCACCCACTGAGGCCACAGGCCGAGACTTCCTGGCAGATGCCTTGGTCACCCTCTTGGTGCCCCTGCTGGTGGCTTTACTGCTCACCCTGCTGCTGGCTTATATCATGTGCTGTCGGCGTGAAGGACGGTGAGTGTGCTGGCCGAGGCAGGCAGCGGGCTGGTACATCTAAGGGACCGTCCTGGGAAAGAGGAAACCATACTTCTCAGGGGGTAGGATTCTCAACTTTAAGAGGAATGTGGGGCCCCCTTTCTAAGCAGATGGGGGTCCACTCCTGTTTGGCTTGCAACTAGGAGGGATTCTGAATATAAGCATGGGATTCCTACATGGGAGCTCTTGGGACACCATGGAGCAAAGCCAGACTGGTACTGAGCTCCCCAACCTTCATTTTCCCACAGGCTGAAGAGAGACATGGCCACCTCTGAGTGAGTAGAGCAAAGCTGGGGTGGCTGGATAGGGGCGCCCCCCTGGGTTGTTGAATTGGACCCTTCACTCTCTGTGAGCAGCAATGATCCCTGAGCCTTGGCCCTGGGCTGGCTGGAGGCTAAGTCCATGTCCTGACCTTGTCCTCATGTGTTCTGGCCATAGAAGAGACTGTTGTGGCATAGGGGAAGGGGACCTGCCACTGTACAGAGGAAAGGGCTTGAGAAGTGACAGGAGGCTCCCAGTGTGGATTCTCTTTCCCCTTTCTCCTCTTTTGCTCTTTCTCCTTCCTGTCTCTCTCCCTTTCCTCCACAATCTCTCTTCCCTTTCCCTTCCTCTCTCGCCCCTTTTTCCTCATTCCTTCCCTCCTTTCCTACTAGAAACCAGACACCTGGGTGGCCTCTGATTCTCCCTGTGTTAGAGGATATGGCTGGTCTAGCTGATGGCAATGGATACTTTGACTCCTACCTTATCTTTCCAAACCCATCTTGTTCTGCCTCAGATTCTCCCCATCCATGGCCTCCTCTCTGACTGTGCCGCTCAGCCCCTGTCTTTGTTTTCCAACCCTCTGAACCCCAAAAATTCCAGAAGACGGTTGTGAAATAAGTTGGGCTTTTATTCCCACTTCACTGAGCTTGTGGCAAGCCTCGCACCCCGCCTAACCAGCCTTATTAATGGCGGCGGCATTTGGCCACCCTACGAACTCCCTTCAAAAGCCGTTTATGGCTCTTTCTGGAGCCTACTAGTGACTGGCGTGGTCCAGACTGGCGCTGCCTGGGTTCCTGCCTCCGCCCCCTCCGCTGGCGTCTCTTGGCCTTGCGCTTGGGCTTGAAGGCCTGCTTCTTGCCCAGGCGGAAAGAGCCCGAGGCACCCTTGCCGGTCACCTGCTTGAGCATGCCTTTCTTCAGTAGATTCTGGAGTGCACGCTTGAAGCGCCAGCTGTTGTTGGCCATGTTGTAGCCTGTGGTGGCCACAGCTTTCTTCAAGGCAGCAAGGGACACACGGCTGTGAACTCCCTTGTCAGTCACAGCCCTCAGAATCACCTTGGACATGCTGGGCTTCCGCAGGGTTTGGGGGCTGATGGAGGCCCCAGTCTCACTCTTGCTCCGGTCCCCTGATGTGCTGGCTTCTTGGTCTACAGCCATCACAGCATTTGGGGCTGCAGATGGTGACACCAGCGGTGTGTCTCTCTGCATCTCTCCCCCCGGGGGTGACTGAAGGGCACTGGATGCTAGGACCTCCAGGGTGGCAGCTGGAAGTATCCACTGGGTTACTCTCAGTAGTGGGTGAGCTGTGTTCTGGCTTCTGCTTCCCTCCGAGGCTCCTCTGTAGCGGTCTGGGCCACACCTCCTGGGTGGCCAGAGGGAGGACGGAGAATGCTCACCCACGGTCGGTCGGCCTCAGTAGACTTGTGCTGTGGGTTCAGGGGCCCCGTGAAGTTATCTCTGCTATGACCTCAGGGGGCTATTGTGAGGTGGGCAGAATCCTGTGGGGGTCATAGTAGTACCAATGTCTCTTCGTAGGAAGGTCAGAGGCATCATATAGTGGGGACATCTGATGTGCCAGATGCCCGACAGAGGAAGGCTATAGCTGGATGAGCCCACACAGGGAATGCCCATGCATATATGGCGCATTTCTGAACCAATGAAATATACATTTCTGAGCCAATTCCAGGACTTTTAGAATCCTCACATTTGTTTATTTAGTGGTGCTGTGTGTGGAATCCGGGTTTCACATACACTAAGCCTCCACTCTTTGCATCTTTGTGTCTCTAAGTGGAAAAATGCTAACATTTTGTGTTTATTATTTTGAGACGGGGTCAACTCTTTTTGGGGAGGAGGTGTTGAGACAGGGAGTCTCTGTGTAACAGACCTGGCTGTCCTGGAACTCACTCTATAGACTAGGCTGGCTTTGAACTCAGAGTGATCTATCTGCCTCTGCCTTCCAAGTGCTGGAATTAAAGGTGTGCACCACCACCGCCATCACCACCACTAGAGACAGGGTTAAACTATATAGCCCTTGATGAAAAGGAATTCACCAAGCCAGCCTTAAAGTTGCAATGATCCACCCGCCTCTGCCTCTGATATGCTGGGATTAAAGGTATGTGCCATCATGCCTGTCTACATTTATTTTTTTGAGGAGGAATACTGGCCTCAATATAGCTGAAAATAACCTTAAACTTCTGATTCTACTGCCTTCACCTTCCGAGTGCTAGAAATTATAGGTATGCCACCACTATGGCTGGTGTGGTGCTGGGATGGAACCCAGGGGTGCAGAACTCTTCCAATACATTTTAAACATAAGAATTATACTAATACTTTTTAAACGAAGAATATAATTTTCAGAGTAAAGTGCAATTCCTTGATTTATGTAAATTAATCAGTCTTTCCCTACGAAACTGTTAAAATGCTTTATTAAACTAGGTATGGTGGTCCATGCTGTAATCCCAGCACTGTAGAGGTGGAGGCAGGAGGATCTCCATCCAGCCTCCATTGGAAGCCATTCTGGGTTCCATGAAAGCCTGTCTCAAAACCAAAAAGAGAAAAGAAAGGGTTTGGGTTTTGTTTTTGTTTTTTGAGACAGGGTCTCTCTATTATGTAGCTCTGGCTGTCCTGGAACTCACTATGTAGACCAGGCTGGCCTCAAACTCATACAGAGATGCACCTGCCTCTGCCTCCTGGGTGTTGGGATTTAAAGGCATGTGCAACTATTCCTGGCTGGGTTTTTATGTCTTATATTTGTTTCCACTTTATAGATCTCTTCCACAGAGATCAACAATTTTGACATACATCTCACAAGGGGGATTTTTTTAATTTTAATTTTTATTTTTTTTTGTGGGCTGTGCCAAATTTGATCAGTTGTGCCTCTGGCATTGTGACTTTTCTCTTGTGATCAGTATTTTTTTACGACTTGTAGCTTTCCTGAATCAGCTTGTAGTTCTGATGCCAGGGAGACCTGCTTCTCTCTTGATTGTAACCAATAATTTTGCCCTGTGTTCAGGCAACCTTGGCTGGCCTGAGTTTTGTATTGATTTAATCCTATTAGATACAGTTACTTATGTCTTTTTTGTTTTTTTGAGACAGGGTTTCTCTGTAGGTTTTGGAGGCTGTCCTGGAACTCTCTTTGAAGACCAGGTTGGCCTCAAACTCAGAGATCCACCTGCCTCTGCCTCCCGAGTGCTGGGATTAAAGGCGTGTGCCACCACCGCCTGGCTAGTTACTTATGTCGATGTTTGCCATTTTTCAAATTGGCTACAAGTGGTGATTTTGCTGCCTGGCTGTCACCTGTATCAGATCTGACTGGTCACAAAGTTCTCCAGGCCCCAGTGGCACTGCGGTGTGGGTCTGTGTGGTGGGGGCAGAATGTCTGTTGGTGGTGGAAAGACCTATGACCACATGGGTGTGCATGTGTCTGTGGGCGTGTGTGCCTGCCTGCCCTCCCATCTGCCTGAGCACTAACACCAAGCCCCTTGGGACAGTTCCACTGGGTTTGGTGTCTGCTCTTCTGCTCTTCTTAGGGAGATTTTTACCTGTGCATTACCAGAGTGATGAGACCCAGATGTGGGGCTGGGGGTGGGAAGGGCTGGTTGATGAGGACCTTTCCTGGCATGGGGGACACACCTGCATTACTGGCCCCTCTTAGCATCCATATACTTCTTGCTCTCATCCCTCCAGAGGCTCTCCTCCCCCAGGGATGGGAAGTTGTATTTCTGACAACTCAATTTGCCAGATTCCACAATTAGGAGCTTATCTAACTCTGTCTGGCCTTCGACAGTGACCTCACTTCTGTTCCTGGCCAGTGGGTACTCAGTCCCACTGCCGCTGTTCCAGGAGGCCTGCCTGTCTTTCAGTGGTCTAATACCTTGGGCTCTGCCCCGCCCCCCATGGTTTCTTTGTGTAACAACCCTAGCTATCCTAGAACTAGCTCTATAGACTAGGCTGGCTAAGAACTCACTGAGATCCACCTGCCTCTGCCTCCCAAGTGCTGGGATTAAAAGTGTGTGCCACCACTGCCTGATCTTTTCTTTTTCTTTTCTTTTCTTTTCTTTTTTTAAATGTATATAAGTGCTCTCTGCATGTGGATGGGCCTTTAAGGAAGAAGGCATCAGATCTCATTGGTTGTGAGCTACCATGTGGTTACTGGGAATTGAACTCAGTACCTCTGGAAGAGCAGCCAGTGCTCTTAACTGCTGAGCCATCTCTCCAGCTCCCCAATTCTATTTTTTCAAACCATTTTTTGAGATGGCATCATTGTGTAACCAGAGATGGCCTCAAACTCAAAATCCTCCTGCCTCAACCTCAACCCTAGCAGAAAAATTCATTGTTTACAAAGAAAATTTCTGCTCTGACTTGATGATCAGGACTTTGGGGAAATGCCACCCGACAAACAAGGTGGATTTCTGCAAAGGAGGCTTGAAAACAACTTCCCCTGGAATTCACCACTGGGATGGCTATAGCTTCCTTGGGCTGGAGAGATGGCTCAGCAGTTAAGAGCACTGGCTGCTCTTCCAGAGGCCCTGAGTTCAATTCCCAGTAACTACATGGTGGCTCACAACCATCTGTAATGAGATTTGGTGCCCTCTTCTGGCCTGCAGGCATACATGCAGGCAGAACTATGTATGTATAATAAATAAATAAATCTGAAAAAAAAAAATAGTACCACAGAGAGGTTTAGCAATTTGCCGAATGTCACAAAGCAGTAAGCAGTAGAAGCCTCAGTGAAAGAAAACCAAGGCAAGTCCTGATGCTTTGCTCCTGTGCCGGCCTGCTGCTCAGATGCACTGCAGCTTTCTCCTGTACAACAGAAAGCAAAGACCTAGGTCTGCTACGTGATTAAAGCTGGACCTGAAGTTAGAGTTCAGGAAAGGCCTTCTGATAGGTGTGGCCACTCCCTGCAGTTGGGGTTACTAAGTTGCTGAGGGTCGAGCTGGGAACAGCTCAAGGAACTCTGGTCTGAAACAGAGACAGGGAGGCAAATATGGGTCAGGGGTGGGGCACGGGGAGGGGCATCAGGTAAAAGGAACAGAGATCAGGTTCAAGGAGCCCAGATTATGAGCCCCAGAACTTGGTGGACTACGGGGAAGGCATTTCCCAGAAGGCTCAAGAGCTAGGAGATGAGGGGGAGAGGAAGGAATGGGTCAGATGGCCAGACTAGCATAAGGATGGAGGATGGGGAGAGTCTTGATGTTTGGAATTGGTACTGAGGGAGTTCCCAAGTTCTAGAAGGAGCTGAGAGGACCTTCGGAATAGAAAAACATCATACAGCTGGGGATGCAGTCAGTGGGGAGGGTACTCGTCTAGGACGTGCAAAACTCTGGGTTTGATCCTCAGTATCGCATGAACTGAGTATGGTGTCATGCCCCTGTGATCCTAGTTGGGAGTTTGAAGCAGGAGGAACAGGAGTTCAAGGTCATTCGCAGTAAGTATTGAATTTGAGGCCCCAGCTACCTAAGTCTTAAACAAACCAACCATCCAGAACACTAGACTTATAAATGCCAGCCAGTACCAGTTTCTGCAATTATATACTTCATGTGGTTATCTGCTCCTGCCTTGGCATCTTGTGAGTTACCTATGGTTGGCCACTATTCCAAACACTCAATTGTATTTTCCTTACTTTGCATAACAATCTAGAAGGATAGTTATTATTATCTCCATTTTACAGTTGGAGGAAGTGGAGGCACAAAGGGGTTAAGCCAAGAAAACAGAACTTTAAATCTAGGCTGTCTGTACCCCAAACCTTGTCTCAATCACTGGGCACAAGCAGGCATGAATTCCCCCATTTCCCCCTGCACTTACATTATGTGTTTGCGTCTCCCAGCAACAAGACCTGGTAGGCAGACTGCAGGGTGTCTCTGAGGCAGTGCCAGGATAAACTAGTAGAGGCCAGTTTGTTTGTTTGTAGATTTATTTATTATGTATAGTGTTCTACCTGCAGCTATGTAGGCAGGCCAGAAGAGGGCACCAGATCTCATCATGGATGGTCGTGAGCCACCATGTGGTTGCTGAGAATTAAACTCAGGACTTCTGGAAGAGCTGCTAATGCTCTTAAGTGCTGAGCCATCTCCCCAACCCCAAGAGGCCAGTTCCAAGAGCTGATGATCTTCTGTTTGTGTCTCCAGCATCCAGATGGTTCACCATTGTACCATCCATGGGAATACAGAAGAGCTTCGGCAGATGGCAGCCAGCCGTGAGGTGCCCCGGCCTCTTTCCACCTTGCCCATGTTCAATGTGCGCACGGGAGAGCGGTTGCCTCCTAGAGTGGACAGCGCACAGGTGCCCCTCATCCTGGACCAGCACTGAGAGCTCTGCTAGGTGGGTCTGGCTGAGCAGTGCCATCCTCTAACCAAGAAATAAGGGAGCCTCTCTCTCAAGACAAGGGCACGTGGTGGGATATGGGAGATGGCACTGACTGGCCCATCCCCACGTACAGGGCATTCAGCAGAACTGGCACTGTGTCCACAACTGCCAAGCACTCAGGACTAGAGGGTCAGGATAAGGAAGACAGGGGTTTGGTACCCTCAACCCTCTCCTCTGTCCCCCTCATGCCCTTTTAGTTCCAGTTCCAGCTGCACCACTCAGAGCTGCTGACCTGTGACTGCATCCACCACTGATACCACCAGCTCCTAGTCTACTTGACCTCCCGCACCAGACAGGCAGATGGACGGGGTAGGGAGGGGTGAGGGTGCTGAGGGCCAGCACCCAAGAATAAATACTTGCTGCTCTGTTTGTCTATTGCTTCTGGTGTCACCTTCTCAGTAGTTGCCACTGTCTCTGTGTCCCCTTCTTCAGAGAATCCCCAGAGGCTGCTGACTTGCTCTTTGGGCTCTCCCAGCTTTGCTGTTCTCAAATTCACTGGATCTGATCATGAGGTCTGACTGGATTATTAGCCCCACTTTCTAGACCAGGAGACTAATGCCTGTGGAGAGCAAGTGACTTGCCCAGTGTCACAGAGCAAGCCCTGTCTACCCTTACACTGCCTTCTGTGGGGTGGAGCTTGAGAAATAGGGGATCTAGGTCTTTACCTAGAGATCTGGTTGACATCTGCTGCAGGACCTTCAGTGTGGACTCTGTGTTTGGGGACACCTGCCACAGTTCCCTGCAGGACCTTCAGGGTGCACACTGTGTTTGGAGAGAAGCTGATCTCAATATGGAGCTGTTGGGAGGTGTTACTGGCTGACCATACTAGGCCCCAGAGGTCTGCCATTCTAGAATGTTCCCTGAGCTGAGTGTTGCCAGTGTGACTTCTGCCCCACAGGCTCTGGTATGTTTAGCTGGCTGCAGAGGCCTGGGGTTGTTTTCCCAGGTTGCTACTGGAGTGGGCCATCTGCACTGTAATGGGGGCTTACACATTACCACTTTCATGGGAGGACAAACCGGGACTAAGCTTGAACTGGGGCCTGATAGAGAGTGACAACAAAGGAGCAAGGACAGGTGACCCAGCCTATCTCAGCTCTAAGAGAATGCATACAAGAGCCTGACCCTCCTTAAGGCTTCATTTCTGGGAGCTCCAGCCCCTCTGCTCCCCCCACCTCTTTCTTTCAACAAGGTCTCTCTGCACAGCCTTAGCTGTCCTGGAACCATGTAGACCAGGCTGGCCTCGAACTGCCCCCATATTTTCACAACTTCCTTCACTAGTAGTTCATTTGGTCTCTGCTCTAATACATCCTCAGAGAGACCCACCCTGTCCCCTCTGCTCCCCTGGCCTCTAGAGTCCCTTCACAGTCCTCTTGTCTCTTTGATAGGAGATGCTGTCTGGGCTCATGGGCTGTCTGGGCTGGAGAGATGGCTCAACCACTAAAGGCTAGGCTCACAACCAAAACATCAAGTCTTCAAGATTCAGAATTCCATCCACTCTCTCTTTCTAATAGCTCACCCCCTACCTCACTCCTACCCCTTAAGTCCCAGCACAGACCCTGCACAAAGATACCAGGCAAGGCTGTTTGGAGGGAATACCTGAGGGACATTGTTGTCTGTATGTTTGCTTAGAGTTTATCTGTCTGTCTGTCTGTCTGTCTGTCTGTCTATTTATCTTATCTTATCTTATCTTATCTTATCTTATCTTATCTATTTTTATGTGTATGGGTGTTTTGTCTGCATGTATGTCCTGCAGAGGCCAAAAGAGGTATCAGATCCCCTGGGACTGGAGTTACAGATGGTTGTGAGAAGCCACGAGGGAGCCTAGAACCAAACTCTGGTCCTCTAGAAGAACAGCCAATGCTCTTAACTTCAGCCCCTGCTCAGAGTTCTTCTCTTTTTTTAACAACTAGTTAGTAAGTGAAGCAATGGGAAGGGAGAGGGGAGTATAGAGCAGAGTTGTGATAACTCACTACCTTCAGACCAGCCTGCTCAGAGCTCTTAAGGAGGCTGCACTTCTCCTCTACACTGAAGGCGAAGGTTCTACCATTCTCTTCTGTACCTCCACTACGTTCTGGTCACTCCAAACCCATTAGCTGCCTAAGGAAGGAACTGAGTTGTTAAGCATTGACAGAGGCTGGTGTGTGTGTGTGTGTGTGTGTGTGTGTGTGTGTGTGTGTATGTGTGTCTGTCTGTGTGTGTGCGTGTGTGTGTGCAAGCACAGTATATGTACTCAGTGAATAAAGGCTGGAGGGATGATCTCTAATCAAATGGTTCTTTGTAGAACAAACAGATGCCTCTGGCTTCTCACTGGCTGTTTTCTTCTTTCCTGGAGGGCCCTTCAGCTGGTGAAGGGGCACAGCTCCAGCTCAAATGGCAGCTCAGTATAATGGCCCTAGGGCTTAGGCTGGCTTCCCTTGGGTCCCTATGCCCTTAAGGTGGGGGCTTCTGGCTCCCTCTCACCTCTGTCTGGTCTCCTTGCAAGGCCTTCCTGAGCTGGTCAAGAGTGGGAAGTGAGAAGTTAGCTCCTCCCTCCTTCCCTCCCTCGCTCCTTCCTGGCCTTGCCTCAGGGTCTTGGCAGCCTCTTCCTCTCAGCTCAATTCCAAAGAGCACACAGGAGCCTGCCTGGCTGCCTTCCTGAAAGGAAGTGGCCCAGACAAGTAGCCTGGAGGATGGCGTGACTACAGAAGACACTGAGCCCTGCCTGGGCACATGTGGACGCCCAGCTGACCAACAGCATAGTAGGAGGACATAGACACACTCAGTGTCCCTAGGCAGCAGCCTCTCTTGGAAGACTGTCTATACTGCATTCAGGACCATTCCTACAATCCCTAACAAAGAGTAGCAGCTGTCCCCACCCCCCACTTTCCGTGGCCTCACCCCACACTCAGCTCCACCCTACTTCTAGTCCTGTTGACGGCCCTGCTTATGTGGCCTGATGAGTGGCCTCCACCTTCACTCTAAATACAGACTGCACACGTGGCCTGACTACCCAGACATTTCTTCACCACATTGTCCAGACCCTGGAGTACAGGGCACCGCCTACGCCAGGCCTCAGCCCCTAAGGCAACACCACCTCAGAGAGGATTTAAACATGGCTCTGGCACACCATAGCTGCATCAACAGTTAGTTTGTTCATAAAAGGAGTCATCCCTACTTCAGGACTGATGTGAGAACCCATGAGGACAGGCATGCTGGTGCTTCCTAGAAACAGCATTATCAAGAGCAGCCTAGCCGGGCAGTGGTGTGCACACCTTTAATCCCAGCACTCAGGAGGCAGAGGCAGGTGGATCTCTGTGAGTTTGAGACCATCCTGGTCTATAAGAGCTAGTTCCAGGACAGCCTCCAAAGCCACAGAGAAGCCCTGTCTTGAAAAACAAAACAAAACAGAGAGTGTGTGTGTGTGTGTGTGTGTGTGTGTGTGTGTGGAGAGAGAGAGAGAGAGAGAGAGAGAGAGAGAGAGAGAGAGAGAGAGAGCAGCCTCTCCATAGTCAGAGATGCCTGGGTCTCTCTGACCCTTCAGATCTGGACCTTTGGGCTCTGCTTCCACCAATGCCTCAGGGCATTTTGGGTTTTCCTTCTCAATGGAGGTGAGTGATAAAGTTTCCACTCCTTGATGCAAGGGTGCTGCTGGTCTCATGTGGACACCTGAAACGTGGCTAGTTCAAATTCAGATGTGTACAGCTTTAATGGTATTTGGGGTTGTATTAGGTTAAATAAGATATGAAACTAGTTTGAACTAATTTTTTTGGGGGGTCATGGGTTATATAGCCCAGGCTTTGAACTAGATATGATACCTAGAGATGACTTTGAGCTTTTGAGTCTGTCTCTACCTCTCCTGTGGTCCTAGGGTTGAACCCAGAGCTTTGTGCATGCTAGAAATCACTCTGCCAGCTGAGGTACACCCCCAGCTCATCTCTCTCCCTTTTTAGACGTGGATGCTAGAAAATGAAAAATGTATGAGTGGCCCACAATCTACTTGTGACCATTACACACACACACACACACATGTGCACACACACACACACACACACACGCACACACACACACACACACGGTGCACGTGGGGGTGCGGGACCCACAGCATGTGTGTGGAGATTGGAAGACATCTTGTGAGAGTCAGTTCTCTCTATCATAATGGTTCCGGGGAGCCAACTCAGGTTGTCAAGCTTGGCGACAAGTACTTTTACCTGCTGAGCCATCTTATTTGCCCCACATCCTATTTCTATGGGGTAAAGATGGTTTCGTGGCTTTTCCAAGTCCGCTCAGACCCAGAGCTTAGCCTCTTCCTTGATCTTGCTGCTCACTGTCTGCTGGTGTCCCACTGCCCTCAAGATGGAAGTTTGCCACATAGCAACTGGATGCCTTCCAACTTGAAATGGAAGCCTCCAAATTCTGAAATGGCTTTGGTCCCTATCACACCTCACATCTTCCTCTTCTCTGCCTTCCTTTTCCAGCTGCCCTCCTTCCCAGTTCCTCCTTTCACACATGGCCCAGCTCCCTTGGGTACCAACTCACTTCCCACCCTGCCTAGCTTTGCACATTCCCTGCAAAGAGTTGAAATCCCCATGTGCACAAGGATCGATCACCCTTCCAGAAAGACTCTTCTCTTCCCAGGTCCCTCTTCCTCCATGCAAATGGCCCAGCTCAGTTTGGAGCACACACTCAGGAGGGACATACTAATAGCCTCTTGCCAGGTTCTGAAAAGTTCCAGTGGCATGGGGACTTTGGGACTTGGTCTCCTTCCACACCCCCAGCCCTACCTGATTTTCCAGAATGTCTCCCTACTCACCCCTAATTAATCACCCTTCACTGTTAAACTCGTAAGACACTATTTCCTACCTTCTATAACAAGCAGGGAAGGTCCTGCCGACATAGATATGTTTGGTTACAGGTAAGTGGGCACAGAAAGAGACAAATTCTCATTCACTCAGGGCCCCACTGAGACACCACTCAGGGCCACTCAGAGGTTCCCATTTACTCCTTTATGTCATCACCCAGCCCCTACTGGAGTTTTATGAGTGCCTCCCCATTCTCCTGCTTGCGTGTGGGTGCTCATGCCTATCCCACACACACCCCTGAGGCCCTCTCATGCTGAGGCCTCCAAGCTCCAGATAGAAACCCTCAGTCTTTCCCCTTCGTCCTCATGCAGCTCCGTCTATGGAGGTCTTGGAAACAGCTAGAAACAGAATTAACAACTGAAACAAGGAGGAAAAACCCACCATCTTTAGGTTACAGCAAATCCTTCCAGGAGGCAGCCGGGCTCAGGTCCCTCTCCAAAGAGACCAGGATTCCAAAACAGCAGCAAAAGTGAAAAATCAAAACGAAGCCTTTTTCTCCCTCTGGATTTTTCCACTTGGATTTGTCTAAAATATCAGCCC